CATTAGCACCTCTAGTAATATATTTACTGAGAAAAATGGTGACGTGTTCAATACTTATTTTACCCACTGTAAGTTTGAATTCTACTTTTTGTTGCCATATGTTTAATTTTGTGTAACATGGTTCTACAGAATCACACAGCTGATCTTTTTGTTTCTCTAAAGGCCCCCACATACTCAGGCGTACTTCGCTTCACAGAGGTCCGCGTGGACTCAAGATGGACTCAATGCGGACTCGAAGAGGCCGTCTTTCGGACTGGAGATCAATTTCTTACGTATGCGTCCTCGGTATCACACAATAAACTGATCAACTGTTTTGGATTCAACGCCTAGTTAAGAATCTGTGTCATTTGTGGACAAAATGGGAGTCAAATTTTGGAGAGCGTCTCATGGAGAAGATAAGAAAACTTTATGATGCGTCAACGAAGGAATATAAAGACTTTCAGCGAGCAACAAATTTGTGGAAGGAAATAGCTCCAATTCTGGGTAAGGTAGTTCTTTTCTTTTTTTGTTTTAAAGCTAATAAAGCAAACTATCTTTTCCTCCTCATCCTTGACACCATGACTGAAATTGCAAGAAATTAAAGAGTTTGTCAGGTGGTCAGCATACGCTCGAGTATGAAGTCTCAAATATCCGTGGACAATATATGCAGAGTCTGCGCTGCTCATGGACCGCACACATTACACCCGAGTATTTGTGAGCCTTAAACGGCTTATTGTGAATTTATAGAATCTTTTCCTTTAAACTTCATCAAGCATTACAATTAGTCACTGTCAAAATACAGTAAATGTAGTATTTCTAAAATACACAGTGGATTTTCCATTTGTGTCTTTGTGTGGTAACTTTTCAGACACACATACAATCCAAGCTAACAGCAAACGTACATTTTTTACAGCTCTGTTGTATCTCACCAGGTATCTGACAGGATCTGTTTTTTTCTCTTACATATTTAGTTCCTTGAGTTTAGTTTTCATGGCTTTTATTCTGCTGTCTTTTCAGAACTTTGTGTAGAAGTTCTTCTTGTGTTTCAACCTGTCACCATTTCTCAGTGAGTCTCTGCTTTTGCCCCGCCCACTCTCACCTGATCCTCGTTGTCTCTCCCCAGGTGTTTGTCATTTCTCTCTCATTAGTTTCCCTTTATGTTTTGTGTCCTGTTGCTCGTTCCTCATCTGTGCATTTCACATTTCACGCCGTTCAAACTGTATTTGTTCCTTCGAGTTGTCTTTGGGTTTTTCTAGTGAGTGTTTTTTCTGCCTCGTAAAGCCTTTGTTTTTGTTTTTGCTAATAAATTATTTCTTTGTTACATTTGAGTCCTTGAGTTCTGGTTCTGCACTTTGGGTTCATTATCTCCACCAAACATAGTAGTATTTATTTATTTTATTAAAAAGTAATAAAATAAAATAAAAAAGTATCCCAGTCAACATAAGGTGAAGTTGAACAGTAAGCCTTTAGTAAAACCAGTTCAGCAGCATGATTTTTCACCAAAGGCTGAAGGTAAAGGAGTGACAGCAGCTATGTTTACATGTGCAAAATTCTTTAATTGGATTGAAACGTATTTGAAATAAATAATCTGAATGTAATGTTTACATGGGCTCAAAATTAATTAATCATAATGAGTATTCACATGCACCAGGTTTTTGCAAGTACTGACATGAGCAGAGTTGTAAACTTACTCTAAATAACCAAAGAAGTTCTTCTGTGATGAAC